GCCCGTGGACACTACACCATCGGCAAAGAGATCATCGACATAGTGCTGGACAGGATCCGCAAACTGGTGGGTAACATGATATCAGGAGGGATCCATGTCTCATTTTGATTTCAAATATTTAATTAAAAGACATAACTGTATCTCATGTAATCACTGTCTCTGCCTCTCTGTCCTCAGTCTGACCAGTGCACCGGCCTTCAGGGTTTCCTGGTTTTCCACAGCTTCGGAGGTGGCACCGGCTCTGGTTTCACCTCTCTGCTGATGGAGCGTCTGTCTGTCGACTATGGCAAGAAGTCCAAGCTGGAGTTCTCCATCTACCCAGCTCCCCAGGTGTCCACTGCTGTGGTAGAGCCGTACAACGCCATCCTGACCACCCACACCACCCTGGAGCACTCTGACTGTGCCTTCATGGTAGATAACGAGGCCATCTACGATATCTGCCGTAGAAACCTCGATATCGATCGTCCCTCTTACACCAACCTGAACAGGTTAATCAGTCAGATTGTGTCCTCCATCACTGCTTCCCTTCGTTTCGACGGCGCCCTCAACGTTGATCTGACAGAGTTCCAGACCAACTTGGTGCCATATCCCCGTATCCACTTCCCTCTGGCCACCTATGCCCCCGTAATCTCTGCTGAGAAAGCTTACCATGAGCAGTTAACGGTATCCGAAATCACCAACTCCTGCTTTGAACCAGCCAATCAGATGGTAAAATGTGACCCTCGCCACGGCAAATACATGGCTTGTTGCCTTTTGTATCGTGGTGATGTGGTGCCCAAAGATGTTAATGCTGCCATTGCCACCATCAAAACCAAGCGCTCCATCCAGTTTGTGGACTGGTGCCCCACTGGTTTCAAGGTTGGCATCAACTACCAGCCCCCCACTGTGGTTCCTGGTGGAGACCTGGCCAAGGTCCAGAGGGCCGTGTGCATGCTGAGCAACACCACTGCTATTGCAGAGGCCTGGGCTCGGCTTGACCACAAGTTTGATCTGATGTACGCTAAGCGTGCCTTTGTTCACTGGTATGTGGGAGAGGGTATGGAGGAGGGAGAGTTCTCTGAGGCCAGAGAGGACATGGCAGCTCTGGAGAAGGATTA